GACCAAGACTTTTAGGATTTGGACCAAGTCGAGACCAAGACCAAGGGAGAGCGAGACCGAGACAAGACCAAGACCAGATTAAGAAAAAATTGCCATAAATGATGGAGTATTGTGTACACGTGTACAGTGGGGAAAAAGTTTTTTTGTCTTTCATAGTTGAGGTCTAACCATGATGTCAGTCACAGACCTCCTCATTTTTAAGTGGGAGAACTTGAACAATTGGTGCTGACTAAATACTTTTCCCCCACTTTAGCTAACTTAATATGTAGAGCTAATATTGACAAAACCTTTGTGTGAGGGCAGAGGAAAGAATTTTGCTACAGAGGCGGATTGTTAACGTTGGTGATGGTAAAAGTTTAAAGTTGTACCCACTGTCTCTGAAAGTACTGCCGGATTTACAAGTTGCTGTACGATTTCTCCTGGTTGTTGTTGTTAATGATATTATTTATGAATAATGTAGCCAAATTTTTTACTTAAGATTTTTAAGACGGCTTTTACCGTTCCCAGAGAACCACGGTTCACTTTCYGAGAGTGCTKCGTGCGAGTGATGGGGGGTGCAGACGGGTGAGAGGCGGTAACAAAAATACATAAATACAATGAGTCAGGTTTGGATTTGAATCAGTAGCTACATTTTAAATCCAATGAAAGCAAGATTGTTAAAAAAGTTTATTGGACAATAATCTGGCTATTTAGTGATATTTCTGCAGTTGTGGTCTTGACTGGTCTTGAAATAAAATTCTGAGTCCTAAATGTCCGAGACCAAGACCATCAAAAGTGGTCTTGAGACCGGTCTTAAGACCAAGACCAGTTTCAAGTACTACAACACTACCCACGGGTACGGATGCTGATTTTAGGTGGGGTGGTTAGATAGGGTAAAGGGTCAGGGTTAGGCTGTAGAAATGACAGAAAAATTAATGGAAGTCAGTTTAAATTCTCCATGAGGATAGAAAAGCCAACTTGTGTGTGTGTGAACTGAGAAACAAAAAGCTCAAAGTACAAACTTGTGAAGTACTTAGACAATATATGTACATGATGAAAGCCATTTTAATCGTTGATATAAATGCATTTTGTGAGAC